TGAGCTGAACCCATGAATAAAAACGAGAAATAAGCCGTTACGTGCACTTAATCGTCTACGTGTACGTAATCCGCTACTAGTATATAGGTACTCTGTAGGCAATAATCCGCTACGTGTACTTATGCCGCTACGTGTACTTATGCCGCAACGTGTACTTATGCCGCTACGTGTACTTATGCCGCTACGTGTACTTATGCCGCTACGTGTACTTATGCCGCTACGTGTACTTATGCCGCTACGTGTACTTATGCCGCTGCTTGTACTTATGCCACTACGTGTACTTATAGGCCGCTACATGAACTTGTGCCACTACGTGTACCTGAACGACTTTTGATAGGACGGCCGCAGGTGTTCATTAGCTTTTAATTTAGCTTCTAAGTGACGCGTTTTTTTGGCAGAAAATATGGCTGTTAAGGCCAGAAGGCACGTGCGTTCCGGCCACTTGTTGCGGCCGGAAGCTCTCCTCGAGACGAGCTCTCACTCCCCGGAACTGCGGAGGCGGTGCTGCTTATGCTCGTCTTCCTTTGCTGTGATCCTAAGCAACCGTGTTTATATGGGATATATTTCTTTAATATGACCTTATGGTTTGATTCGTTTTCAAGGATTGATCTGAATTAATTTGAGGTCATTATTATGTGAACGATAATAATGATGAAGAGTACCTCCAAAAGTATTAATACTCGCGTCATAATTAGGGGTTGCATTATCAAAACTAGTTAAGAGTTCGGATCTCCGTCAGCCAATGACAGACTGTTCTTCTTGCAATACCCACCAATTACAGACGCTACGTATACCCCACCGCTACGTGTACTTGGCGATTCCTGTTGGTACGGCCCGCGAACTGTAACTTCTTTACCTCCGCCACAAGAAGCAATATAGTACTACGGAATGTTAGAGTAATCATTAGTGGTAGTGTTGTGCGTACTATGGTGTTGTGGTGGTGTAACCTGTCTGCCACTGCCTGCAGAGTACTCAGCAGTGGTAGTGTGGTGCGTGTACTATGGTGTTGTGGTGGTGTAACCTGTCTGCCACTGCCTTCAGAGTACTCAGCGGTGGTGGTGTGGTGCGTACTATGGTGTTGGGGTAGCGTAACCTGTCTGCCACTGCCTGCAGAGTACCTGTTTCGTCATTGCCATTTCCGCCCCTGCGGGCATCCAGGGCTCCTCGGCGTAGTGCCCCAAGGCTGGTGAAGAAAAGCTTGTCATGCCAGAGAACGCGGCTTTTACTTGATTGATGTACAGCGGAGGTATAGTTAATAAAGATCTTATTTCAAAATATTTTATACGCTATAACTCCCATCATAATGCACGAGCTGTCTTTGATGCTAATGCGTATACGCATGTTTTAGTTTGAGAATGAATATAATACGTAACTGAGGTAAAAAATTACGTTTATATTTTCGTTTGCTAAAGTCTAAAGTTTCTTCTTGAATTTTCGCCGTTACAAAAGCAATGCTGACACGCCGCGTCTGGACAGCACGTAGGCACTAACTTTGCTGTTTATGCATGTATAATTAGAGTTATGGTTGTAGTTTTGTGTCTGAACAGCCGGTTAAATACAGTTCAACTTCAGTTTGCGGCCTAGTACTGTGTTCTCATACGATCATTCATTGAAGAATATTTTTCATAAGTATCACCAAGTTTACATTCATTCTTTGCTTCACGACTGGCCGGTTGCAGTAGAACGATCAGTTCCAGCAATGCTGCTGAGGAAGCGAGTGCTTCCGTTGGTCACCTTATATTCAGCGAGTGCTTATAATGTTCATCACTGACACTTATAATGATCATAGTAACTTCACAACGCTGGGGGGAATCTGTCTGGGATTGACGATCAATTTATAACACCTATATTATTGATTTATATTTTTGTTTGGTTTCAGTTTGCATCACACCATTGTACTCATGCCGGCATCTGAAGTGCTATGTCTAAGTAGCCTTATATTCTGGCGTAATTTGCCTATAATGTGTGGGAAAACTTGAGCACCTGCCTCTGTAGACAACCTGTCTGCTGTAATCACGAAGCATTACCTGCTTGTGTTGGTCTTAGCATGAGTGCATGAAGTGGTTGCCGTATATTGATGCATTGTTTGCGGTTATCTGCTCTACGGTCAGCTTCAGAGCTATTTTTTTCTGGCTCTGGCAACGTCTGTCTTAGAATTAATGAAACTTGACATTACTATGCCAAGTTTCATTTCAGAGACACCCTGTGCGCAAAGAGTCACGAGCGCTGAACTCAATTGTATGTAAAAATATAAATAAATTTTTTTGAATGTCATTTATAAGTTGTAAATTTATCAAGAAATTAATGACGTGTTTCTTTGAGATTACTTGAATCTATGAATGATAGTTTATTTCGAGTCCGCATTACCGTTCTGCTCTCTGTTAACACATTAGTTTTCGTATTATCTCTTTCATTACGTTTCCTCGAGGCATTTCACCGACATTTATATGGTCGAATGCATTCGACTGTTTGACGAGATAACTCGAGGTTTGCTGAACTGTGAGCGCAATTTGCATGGACGTTTACCAGTGACAGGTACGATTGTCTCAATTCTCATGCTTGACTGGTGGCAAATTAGTCACAGTTTCCTGTGATTTGATTGTTAAATTCATTTGTCTTTGAGGTATTAATTGACGATAATGAGGCGACAGCTCATTGGTTAACTCTGTTTCTAGTATAAATACGAGGGTTGGATTTTGTGAGCGTTGACTGAGGTATTCAGGTGTTGATATTAGCGATCATGTGCGAGGTCACGGAGAGGGAGATTGGTCCATGCACGTCGTCTCATTCTGGTACACTGAATAAACTGTACGGTTCATATTGTCCAAATAGTTACACGTTCTTAGACACAGCGCGTGCAGAGAGTTGACGTTGCACTTAAACGCCCTTTTGCCGGGTGCCAAACTTGGTCAGGTGTGTAAGGAATTTATACAAACATAACTGCTAACAATTTTATTGAAACTCCAAAGGATAAGCTTCGGATCCAGAGAAGTATTAACGTGGCATGCATTAATCATGATAAAGGGCCCATAGCATGCATTAATTCAAAAAGATGATAGGAAGTGAAATTGCACTCTGGTCACTGCGGGCTATACAGTAGCCTAGAACACCATTTGAGTCACCTCCGTATCACATAAGCCAGTCAAAAGTTGAGCCCTTCAATGCCTCAAAACTTCTCTCGAAATCGACACTTAATCTAACTTAATCTTTAAGGTCTCCGTTACAGGGAAACGGAACATAATTTTAATTAAATGGAACATTAATCAGTAAAATTTCTAATAGGTGATACACACACAAGCGCAAAAAATGAATCAAAGTAAAAAGTCCCACAAAAACTTAATACAATACAAAGTCTCGCTCATTTTTTTTACAATAAAATATTTTACTCTTTGCATTTTACAATACTAAGTCTCGCAACAGAGTTGCTTTTAGAGGCGGGACGTAAACAGAGTTGCTGGTCGAGGCGAGACGTAAACAGAGTTGCTGATAGAGACGGGACGTAAACAGAGTTGCTGGTAGTGGCGGGACGTAAACAGAGTTGCTGGTAGAGGCGAGACGTAAAGAGTTGCTGGTAGAGGCGGGACGTAAACAGAGTTGCTGGTAGAGGCGGGACGTAAACAGAGTTGCTGGTAGAGGCGGGACGTAAACAGCTTCCTTGACGTAACCCCACAAGAAATAGTCACATGGGGTGAGATCAGGAGAACTCGGTGGCCAGAATTGCAGAGCCAGATCTTCATTTCCTATGCGTCCTACCCAACGCTTAGGAAGCAACTGATTCAAAAAATGTTTGGGACATCATGATGCCAATGGGGGACATATTGAACATTTATAAAAACGTAAAAAAAAAATCTTTCTCTTTCCATTGTTGTATAAATTATTCATTTAAATTTAAATTCTGTATATGTGACCAAATTTCATTACAATAAAACTTTTAGACCGCAATGCAGTTAAGCTGAGCTTGTTAAAAGTAATAAATTCCATTTGTTTTAAAACAATATAATCTTCCAATATTTATTTTCAGCGAAAATAACATCACATTCACGCTAATATGTTCTTCAGTTTTAGGGATCTAAGCTAGCACCTCACTTATTTCAAATCGCTATAATGTTACTTATTTAAAGAGATGAACTTGTTTGGTATACAAATGTTATTCTAAAATACACTACTCTGAGTACTCTCTAAATCGTATTCACTTTGAAAATAAGTAAATATTATTGGACTGAGAATTTGTGATTGCATCACTTATCACAGGTGAGCAGCAAGCGTTCACAGTGGCCGTATACTGTCAAAAATAGTCATCGAGTTCGTAACTCTCAGCCAATCATTGACGGTCTTTGAAGCTAAACCTACCAATCAAAGACGATAATTCGCCGCTACGTGTACCTAGGCCGCTATACGTGTTCTTGAGTGAGTTTTGAAAGCACAGCACCTGATGAATTACTCTGCCATTCTGCCGTATCGATGTTATCTGTGCGCATAGGGCGGCTAAGCGAGGTTAGCCGTAAAAAAATAGAGGTTGCTGAGCGACAATAGGACGCTTGCTTCTGACCTAAATCAGTAACACTAAGGAGGGGACAGCCCCATATCGCTGGAAAGTGGATATTGATGTGAATCTCCCGAGATGATATTGAAGAATACTGGATGTTGATTAGTTTGTAGTGAAGTTGTTACAACACGCCAGACATCTGACGTTGAATTAAACATCGTTTCATTGAATAAACGTTAAATCAGGGTTGTTTCAACGTTATTTGCTGCCTGTTGGGAAATAAAGTCTGTGCGAGCGATATTTAAGATCAGATAAGAGCTATTCAAATATGTGTAAGAAATTATTATTGCTTGCGACGTTCTATTTTAAAGTAGATTTTTGTCTTTTTCATCCAAAATTTTCAAATGTTATTCTTCCCAATTGATCGCTCAATATCATTCTCGTTTCCTATCACATTATTGAAGAGTTTGATAAATTTTAATGGCAACCTTTCAGTTCAGTATTTGTATTTCAGTTGGACAGCAGCGGACCTGTCGGTGGTGTGCCGGCAGATGGGGTTCACAGGAGGCCAGTATCACGAGTGGCAGGACAAGCCCAACAACGACACCAAGAGCCTCCTGCTGGAGACGCCCGCGTGCACTGGGGCGGAGAGCAGCATCGAGGAGTGTGCCTGGTACAGCAGAGCTCTGGGTGGCGGCGTTTGTGGTGAGTAATTCTACTATAGAATGTTTGAAAAAATTTACATTTCCTACTATCGAATGTTTGATTTTTTATATGTCCTATACTATAGAATGTTTGTAATTTTTTATATATCCTTCTATAGAATGTTTGAAACATTTTTTATATTTCCTGCTATAGAATGTTTGAAAAATTTTATATTTCTACTGTAGAGTGTTTGAAATTTTTTATATTTCCTGCTATAAAATTTTTAATTTTTTTTTTATATTTCCTGCTATGGAATGTTTGAAATTTTTTATATTTCCTACTGTAGAGTGTTTGGAATTTTTTATATTTCCTGCTATAGAATGTTTGAAAAATGTTATGTTTCATATTATGGAATGTTGAAAAAATTTTATATTTCCTCCTACAGAATGTTTGAATTTTTTTATATTTCCTATTATAGAACGTTTGAAAAAATTTTGTATTTCCTACTACAGATTGTCTTATAAAAAAAATTGTATGCAAAGAAAGAAATTCGAGTGTGTGATGAGAAATATTTCCAAACCCTCCATGCAAATGACGTTTGAAACAACGTTGATTACGAGTTGATTTTGTTAAAATATCATTTAGCTAACGGTATTTCAAAGTCAGATGCCTGGTGTGACGTATGTTTAAAAAATTAATTCGTACATTCAAAAAAAAAAAAAAATTCAATATCTTAAACCTGGTAAGGATGATTAATATTTTTCACTTGGAGTAACCGAGGGAATTTTTAGCTCATTACACGAAACGTTAATCTATATTCGTATGTATTTATCTTTTTGATTCGACAACAATAATCCAATTAATAATCTTTTGTAAACATAGCAGCGGTCTTCATAGATTACTTAGATGCAGCTGGAAATTCATATTGGCTTCGTAAGAAGGTGTGCATGATCTTGGATTTTTTTAATCGCACAGAAACTAATTTAACATTGGTAAAATTTTGAAATGTGAAATAGGCTACCGTTCAATAAATAGTGTTGGGGAGGAGGAGGCAATGGGTGCGGGCATTCGATAAAATAATTTCATAACCCGAGGTTGCAAAGTGAAAGCGGTTCCATGTTAGTGATTTTGCTTCTATCATTCCATGGACCCGAACGTCCAACACTTTTCCATAAGTACACATAATAAGGCACACACTATCATACTATCATGTTAGTAGTTTTCATGTTTTAATTCCTTCAGTCGAGAACCCTTGCTGCACGGGAATGAGCGGCTGCATCTGTAAAACAAACAATAAAATACCAAACTGATAAAAGTCTGTTGTAATTCACATAGAACATATTATCGACTGTTGTCTTGAATTGCTCTGCAGGATCTTATCGACCACAGTTCCGACTTCCCGGTGTTCGCAACAAGTTAAAATCTTCTGTTTGATCTGACTCCAAAAGATCTCAATATAATTATTCGTCAGTCGTCAGGGATACAAAGCTGATTTACACTAATTATTTCCTTTATTTCACTCAAATCTCCAAGCTCACCAAAAGTTGGCTAACGAATTAATTACTGCAAAAACGAATTGCACTCGAAAATTTAGAGCTTAAAAATTGTACTATCAAAATATTTGTCCTAAAATATAACTTACATATTCTGAATTTGCAGCTAATGAAATCTCACAGTCACCTTTGAGGCTATTTCAATCAAGAATAGCCTTTTAGTTTCGCATCTTTCTAAATCCCATTACCTACATACAGTCGCCCTTATTATGTTCACCAAAGAAGTTCAAATTTCATCGATAATCACGGAACGCGTGTGCAAGAACATAAATTTGACAATTTATTTGACTTCCAAATTGTAGCCCAGAGGTAGCGGCAGCGAGAAGAAGGGAGCTATATAACCGTGGGGCGTGGGTTCGAGCCTTGGGTATATAGCAAATTAATTTTCCGGTGTCGCTGGTATGCGGCACTTGATGGCCGTCGAAGGTGATACTTCAGCACTGCCTTGAGTGGTGCCTAAAATGAACTCTGAGCACCGGTTACCTTGAGAGGTCTTAAGATCCTAAACATTTTGGAAAATTAAAAATGAGTCTATTTGTATATTATTTAAAAATATTTATTAATTTTTATGGAAATCCGCGCAACGGTTACCTGGAGAGATCTTAAGATCCTAGGAATGTTGAAGAATTCAGAATTATTTCATTTGTATATTATTTAAAAACATTTATTAATATCTTGAAGAATTAAAAAATGATCTTATTTGTATTAGGTATATCATTTAAGAATATTTATTAATTGTTATGGAAATCTGCGCAACGGTTACCTGGAAAGATCTTAAGATCCTAAAAATCTTGAAGAATTCAGAATTATTTTATGTATATTGATCAAAATAATTTATTTATTTATTATTATTGTTTGCAGACCTGCACCCTGACCTGGGCGTGGCGTGCGGAGAGTATCACGCAGACTGGAGAGGACGCCACTACTGGAAGGGCATTGAGTTCCTCGACGCCGAGTTCACCAAGGAGCTCCAGCAGGAGCGCACTCAGTTCGTCAAGGTGAGGCTCTTGCCGAACTCCTAGCCTTACTTGGGTCTCTGATGCTGAAATAAAATTGAGATTGAGGCGGTAATTTAGTTTCAATCGAGATTATTTTTTTTAGTTTGCTTATCTATAAAATATTATCATGTAAAAGTGTCTCCCTCAACTTATTTCTTAATTATATGTTTTCATTGTTGTTCAATATTCAAAGCGCTCAAAATCAGTAGTAATAACAAATTACTGTAAATAGTAAATAGCAAAGGTAGTAACAATAAACAGCAACCACCCACACCGCTGTTGTTCCCGCAGGTGTCACGGTCACGTCTGTCCCACATCGACATCCTGCACGCGGGCTACGGCCCACGACGTCAGGTGACGGCCGCCGTACAAGCCTTCAGTACTCCACCTCGTCTCGACCATATCACCATTTATGGCTCGGTCTACAACGCAATTAACTTCACCATGCCCGGCACTTTCATCACTCTTTACGCCGCTAATATCACCGGCAACAGAGGTCTTTATATAATAAATAATAATAATAATTAAATATATATATAAGGTTAAGCTCGCGGAAGTCTTGATACAATATAATAAGTTTCGATACAATAATTCCTGTTCGTGCTTCGATTTCGTCTCCCTGTGATGAGCTACGATATGAAATTTTAGTGAAGTAAATATGCGGTGAACTCTGCTGGTGTCATTCAATAACCATAAACCACTAATACTTCAACCACTCATGACCATTAACCACCAATAACCATCAACCAATAACCAGCAACAATCACTAATACCATTTATAACCATCAACCCCCAATAGCCATCAACCACTCATGACCATCAACCACTAATAACCATCGACCTCCCGTAACCAACAATCACTAATACCACCTATAACCATCAACCACCAATAACCATCAACTACCAATAACCGTCAACTACCAATAACCATCAACCCCCCGTAACCAACAAGCACTAATACCACTCATAACCATCAACCACCAATAGCCATAAACCACCAATAAACATGAACCACCACCAGGCTTCGGTGTGTACGTGAACAGCTCGACGGGTGGCGTGAGACTGGAAGGAGGTTCAGTGGTAGCCAACAACCAGGCGGACGGCGTCAAGTACAACTTCCACCATCGGGAACCTATCAAGTCCGCCGACGATTCCTTCATGGATTTCTGCAAGGGCGCGTACAACCTGCAGCAGACGTACCCTCTCGTCATGAAGGCTGAGCAGGAGCGCAGGTCTTTCAACCCCATCATCTGTGAGAAGGTGCGTTGCAGCTCTAGGTTGATGAAATTAGTACAATGGTTGATTAAATTAGTACAATGGTTGATAAAATTAGTACAATGGTTGATAAAATTAGTAGTGGGTAAGTCATCTAAGATTTATTTCAGGTGTTTACGACACAATTGGAGGACTACGTGTTCACGCTCCACTTCAACTACATGCTTAACGACGATGAGTCTTCGGCGTCTTTAGAGGTGCGCGATCGGGACCAGTTTGGAGAGCTACTCACGCGTTTCAGTCTTAAGAACAGAACATATCCCGCTTCTGTCGTGTCCAGAACAAATCAACTTTACGTTAAGTACAGGGCCGCCCCCAGGAAACAGGCTATCATCTACATGGAGATCATCGCGGGGCCGAGTAAGTTCAGTCTCAAGTTAATTAAATTTTGCTTGTAAATATGTACCATTGCATGTTATATTTTCTCTCCGCGATTGATTTGTGTGTCTAATTATTTCGTCCCCGAAACGAGTGAATTTTCATGTAGTCTGTTAGACTGTATTATCTTGATTTTCATTAAGATTAATTGTCGCTTGTATTTATTCTGTTCGATGTGTTCAGGTAAAATACCAGACCTTAGCATCAACGAATCGCATGTCTTCAACAACCTTGGCCACGGAGTGTCCGTGGAGAACTTGCGCAGCGCAGTTTTCGTCCACAAGTCTAACCTGACCGGCAACCTGTTCGGTTCTGGCCTAAACGTTCGCGGAGGTTCCGGTGACGTGAACGTTACCTACTCTACCATATCGGAAAATCTTGGCGATGGTGTAAACGTGACGTATGAAGGCGGTCTCCAGAACGTTACATGGTCACGCATTTCCGACAACAAGCTAAGGGGGATCGCAATCTGGTTCAACGAGACCGATCGTAATACCAGCTTGAGACAAGAGACAGGGATTGCATATTCAGTGATCGACAGAAACCTCGAGACTGGTTTGCTTGTGGGCAACTTCTGCCGCACGGCATTCCTCAACATCACCAGCAACACATTCTCAAACGGGGTAGAAGCCGCGGTAGAAATAGGCTCTTGCTGGAACAAAACAGATCAGATGAGAACTGTTTTGATCACTAATAACCTCTTCAGTAATAATAATAAACTTGCGATCAAGATTGTTCCGGCAGTCAATATGAACCTCTCAATTGAATGGAACCGCTTCCTTAACAATAATCTAGGAACTGTTCTGATTCGTAATAAAGACCTGCCACAGCTTGATCTGCTGCCTCTAGTGAGCAGAATATCAGATAACATCTTCCGAAGAAATACAGGTAAATACGTTTTGCAGCTTCGTCTCTCAACTCCTGGCATATACCAGTCACTGCTGCTGACCCGCAACATAATACAAGACAACATCGTGCGTGAACCTTACGAAACAATGACATCCCGCAGCCAGGCGGCTGGCGTCGTGTGCCTTGGATCCAATAACATTCAAGTTTATAGAAACTTATTGGAAAATCCTGAATCTCCGTACGAGCTTGCCTCACATTCACTCGACCAAAGTGACGCAATAAACTGCACCTATAATTGGCTTGGAAAGAAACTAGAAAATGACGTTTACAACCGAATTTTAGACAGAAGAGATCGGTACAACTTGGCTTTGATATCTTTCCACCCGTTTCTGCTTAGCGACAACAATATGGAGACCCCAGTAGTTAGCAATGCCCAGATGTCCGAGCCTAGCTTCTTCGATCCTTTAGACAGAACTTTAATCGGGGGAGAAGTCAACGGAGAAATTGTTCTCACTGAACCCAAGTACAAAGTAAAGAAAGACATTTACGTGCACACAACAGGTGACTTGAAGATAGCTTTCAACACAGTGTTGGAGTTTGAAGAGAGTGTTGGAGTTATGGTTGCTGGTGTGATGAGGGCTGAAGGTTCAACAACCGGACGTGTACGTTTTACTTTATCCGGCACCACTGCTGCTGAGGAGCAGAAAAAAATGGAGATTGCGGCACGGGATGAATATCAGAATGGAGTAGAGGAGGCAACCGACGATGAGGCTCTTGCAGACGACATGACCGAGCGCACTTTCGACATCTCATCGACGATACCAGACGTGCATGTGAAGCTCGCAGGCGGGCGTGACGGCTTCGAAGGTCGGCTCATGGTAAGTCTAACTCGCTCTTTTCGGTTCTCAGACATTTTTTTATTTAGTCCTCGCTTGAATATGCTTCAAAGGTTCTAATTCATTTAATTCCCTTTTTTTTACACCATTTACTTGAATTTTTCAAATAATGTTCCTAAATTTTCCCCTTAACCATGTTATGTATGAAATTTCCCCTTAATTCATGTAGGTAAATCTATCTATTTTCCGTCAAAATTGAAGAAAAAACTTTCTAGTTTTGCTATACCTATAGATGATGAATAATTAATTAAATTAATAGAAACATCTGAGTTGTCAATAATGACCACGTTGTTGTAACATATGAAGGTGAATAAGTTTCAGAGCAACAGTCTTACCGCCCAATGTGTGGAGGTGATTTTGCAACTAATGCCTACCAACAAACGTCATGCAGAGGGTTTTGGAATCTCTGTCTTACTCCAAAATTTATGGAGGATTTTTTTTTTCAGATCTACAGCGGAGGTCGCTGGGGCAGCGTTTGCAGCCACGGGTGGACGGAGGAGACTGCGGCGGTGGCCTGCCAGCAGCTCGGGTTTGTCCTCAACCCTGAGGACTGGCTGCTGCTGCCTGGGGACTTGCCTCAGGAGGGACAAGACGCGCCCATTGTCAGAGGGTAAGAGTCTTATTTTTTCTCGTGTATGTATTACAGCTGATGTTTAACTATTTTATTTCTTATGTCATATTTATTGGACCATTGAGTGCTTCTTTCCATTTTTTTGTTGAGGTTGGTCTCCATCTTGTTTAAGCCGGTTTGTAGAATAGTAACTGATAGGGTAAAAATTAGCTTTATTTATTAAAAATGCTTTTTAGCTGCCAATATTAGATTAATAATCAATTTCTTTAATTAATACAACTCCTATTCATGATTATATAAATTACAAGCATTTTATCATTGGAGCATTCACAATAATTTAATGTTGTCGTGTCTCTTCTTTAGAATCCGCATCGCGACCCAAAATGTCTAACGCTCATTCAACTCTGGATGATTTTACCGAAACTCATATTTTTAATTTGTCCTCAGCAACGTAGTTTGTGACGAATTCGACACAGACGTGTCACTGTGTCGGAGTGACGATGAGTCAGAGCTGGAGAACTCCTGTCGTCACACGGACGACGTGGGCCTGCGTTGCTACCCTCGGTCCTGGGCGGGCATCAGGCTGGGCATCACAGCCAAGGAGAGCTACCTTAAGAACGTCATCATCGAGAAGGCGGGACTGCTCGATTATTCCATTAGAGCCTTCAAGCCTGGTACATAATATTGGACTTTTCTGTAATAATTATGAGCGTGTAGAACGCAGGAAGAAACCGTTGTGAATTTTTTAATATTCACAAGATGATCTTAGTGGTTGAGTGATTTGTCTTGCTATAGAATTAACATTATTGTTCCAGCGATTAATGTTCCCAAATTTTCGGGTTAAATGCTTTTTATTGTTTCCACTGAGTTATTGATAATGTGGGAGATCGATTTATGGTAGAATAATTTAATACTAACACATCGACACGATCTCTACAATAGAAAAAGACATCGACTCATCTTAAGGACATGGTTGACACTATGAATATGCATGCAATTTATATTCTGTTGTAAGCAATAAAATTTTTCATGTACAGCGCTGCAAGTGGACTTTCACCAGCACGTACTGCAGGAGTTGGAGATCAGAGACAACTCTCAGGATGGCGTTGGCGTTATCTATTGTGATCAGTACGCCATCAGCAACCGAGACGCTCGTCTCTTCGTCAAATCCAACTTCTATCGCAATAAACGTCACGGCATCTCCTTCAGGCAACTCGGCGCTAACATCACCGGTGAGTCCTGGGCCCATACTTTCAAAAAAAGTTAAGAGATCGTAAGTTCATCAGCCAATCATTGACGGCCTTTAAAGCAAAATCCACCAATCATAGACAAGAAAAAAGAGCGTAAGTACTTACATCCACTTAGCGAATTTTGAATGTATGACCCCAGAACATTTGTGCACCACACATCGATGCCTGCCATACTAACAAAACTTACTCAAGTACACGTAGCGTTCTAAGTAAATGTAGCGGCCAAAGTACACGTAGCGGCCGATTTCTCGTTTATTATTGGTGGGTTTGGTTTGAAAAGCCGACAGTGATTGGCTAACGGAGTTATGAACTTTATTTTTGGTGATAAGATCCATGGATTTGATCCCTGACTTGAGATGAGCAAATCTCAGGCTGAGGTCTTGAAAGCAGTCAGAAAATAATGTCAGTAAGGATCGTGAAGCATGAATAGTAATGAAAATGTCCTAGACAATGCAATAGTTATAATTAGCAGTGGTCTGAGACTGTTAATTTGATGAGGGTAATGAGACATTATATGTGGTCTGAGACTTTTAATTTTATGCTATTAATGAGACATTAGATGCGGTTTGGGACTGTAAATTTGATGCTGTTAATAATGAGACATTAGATACGATCTGAGACTGTTAATTTAATGCGCTTAATGACGAATTTAATGAGGTCTGAGACTTTTAATTTGATGCTGTTAATACGACATTAGATGCGGTCTGAGACTGTTAATGCGACATTTGATGCGGTCTCAGTCTGTTAATTTTATGCTGTTAATGAAACATTAGATGCGGTCTGAGACTGTTAATTTAATGCGCTTAATGATGAATTTAATGAGGTCTGAGACTGTTAATTTGATGCTGTTAATGCGAAATTTGATGCGGTCTCAGACTGTAAATTTTATGCTGTTAATGAGACATTAGATGCGGTCTGAGACTGTTAATTCGATGCTGTTAATGAGACATCAGAATAATGAATTATTTATCCGGTGTACAGACAGTACTTTTGCTTACAACGGCGGTTCGGGCCTTCACTTCGACCCGTTCTTGCGACGGTCTGACCAGCGCGAGATGACGGGGTGGCTGAAGCTCCTGCAGTGCCACGTCTCGCTGCCGTCCTCTGACACTCATGTCACGCTGGAGAAAGATAAACCCATACGCATCTGCACCAGGACCATCAAAAATGATCCTTCGCTTCAACAGACCGTCACTTTCACGGTAAATACCTTAATATTTATAGTCTTAATCAGATGTGAAATTTGTATGTAATATCGTGATGTTTTTACTAAACTCTCACTTTCACAATATATAAAAGTTTAAAATCGATGTGAAAATTATATAAAATAACGTACGGCTCCTGGAAACCGTCGCTTTCACGGTAAATACCGTAAAATTTATAGTCTTGAACAGATATGAAATTTTTATGTAATATCGTGCTGTTTCACTAAACCCTCACTTCCACAATATGTAAAAGTTTAAAATCAATGTGAAAATTATATAAAATAACGTACCTGGAAACCGTTGCTTTCACGGTAAATACCGTAAAATTTATTGTCTTAGATAGATGTGAAATTTTTATGGAATATCATGCTGTTTCACCAAACCCTTACTTTCACAATATAAAAAAGTCTAAAAGCGATGTGAAAAGGGTATAAAATAATGTGCGGCTCTTGGAAACCGTCAATTTCGCGGCTAGTCTTAGTTAAGAAAAGAGTCTATAATTGAAACCTCAAATTTGATTCCTGTGTTGTTATTCCTGCTATCTAATATAACATAATTATTTTAACGTATTCCTATATTATTGAACAGACCGACCAGAGAAATGTGATTGGAATCCAAATATTGAGTCCCGTCAACTTTGAGAGCTCTGAGAAGATTATCATCTACGACTACCAAGAGGTCACCACTAGGAAGGTCTGTAGTAGTTCTGCGGCTACATGCTTAGAAAATGCATGAATAAATGGACGCTTTAATGTACTTGTACTGCTTGAATAAGACCCTCAACTTTGAATCTAGGTATTGATATGACGCTCTCCAAATTGATTGCAATAAATTTTTATTCTGTCCGTATTAAATGTATCGTTGGGAATTGTGTAAAGACCAGAAAATTTAAGAGATTAACTATGCTGAGATGGTGTGTGTCGATATGAATCTGGGTGTATGTTGATGTATTTTTTTGTTATATATTATGATGTTATGCATTATTTCGACCGTCAAGACGTGTTGCGTTTAGACTTAAGAGTAAAGAAAAGTTTATCATGGGCATATTTTTTCAGTTTTTTCGAGTCGAAATATTATTGTTGCTTACTTCAGATGTTATATTTTCTATCGAAGGCCGTATTTCTTTCAGATTTAGTTAATCGTTGGGATATACTTTGTAGTTCATGTTTATCGAGACAAATTAAGTTTTATATTGCTATTTGTTTATTAATTTATTATTTTATATATTGATTTATGATATTACCGATCAGGACGTGTCTCGCTGGGACCTGAGTCGTGACCTGGTGGTGTTCCCCACGACGTCGTCGAGCTACGCGCTCACGCTGCAGTACACGTCGGGCCCGCTGGCTCTTGGGGACGCTATCATCCAGCTCACTGCTGTCGACCGTGCGTGTCTCTTGGATATGAGCAATATTTTATAGAGTCAAACTTATTTATAATAGGAAACAAGGTGAAGCCTTTTGAGTATAGGAAACAAGGTGAAGCCTTTTGAGTATAGGAAATAAGATGAAGCCTTTTGAGTATAGGAAATAAGATGAAGCCTTTTGAGTATAGGAAATAAGATGAAGCCTTTTGAATATAGGAAACAAAATGAAGCCTTTTAAATATGGGAATTTAAGTGATGCCTTATGAATATAGGAAATTCAGTGAAGCCTTTTTACTATAGGAAACAAGATGAAGCCTCTTGAATATAGAAAATTAGGTGCAGCCTCTTTACTATAGGAAATAATGTGAAGCCTTTCGAATATAGGAAACTAATTGCTGCCTCTTTTCTATAGGAAATACGTTGTAACCATGAATTTAATAGCTCAAAGTTCCTTTTGCGCTTTCAGTTGCTTATAAAAAGTTTTCATCTAGTTCCTCGTTGTGAAAATGTTATTATTTGAATTTGTGAATTTTGAAGATGCATCTCTGATGGACTTTAGAAGGGCATCATTAGTCCGTTTGCTGCTGATTTCAGCTGCACGGCGTGAATTTCTGTTACTTGAACTTCATATAAGAACTTACTCTGTATATTATGTGTTCAATAAACTCATGTATTAATAATATTATACAAACTTAGAGTGCATAAATATGATTTGGTTTGACTGTCAGGCCGTCATATGGCCATGGCTGGAGACTTGAAGAACTTCCGCTCCAAGTGGCCGATGGTCTTCCTTACAAACTCCGTCCTCAGCAACAACGACATCGGCCTGTCCACTGTCCACTACAACAGGTGCGTTGTCCACCGTCCACTACAACAGGTGCGTTGTCCACCGTCCACTGCAACAGGTGGACAATGGTGGAATTTTCATTCGTTAATTGCACATGAACTTATTATGATAATGAAGACGTAATATAATGAAAATGAAAATGGATTCTCCATTTCATTATTATGATGAATGCGCGAGCACCAAAATACATCGCGTTCACATGTATGACTATTTTCATTCTCTTATGCAGATACTTGACAGAGTTGGACGATTATTTGCTGCGGTCGTCTAACGAGTCCATCCAAGTTTACAACTGCTCCATCAATGACAACCTGCAGCAGGCCATATACGTGCTCTCCCCTTACCGTGTGCGCCATGACAACCATGACATGGGAGAGTTCACCATCATGATCAACAAGACGCTCATCACACGCAACGGCCGCGGTGTGATGCAGCAGAGCTGGTGAGTGACTGTCGTTACTCGCGGTGTGGTGCAGCAGAGCTGGTGAGTGACTGTCGTTACTCGCGGTGTGGTGCAGCAGAGTTGGTGAGTGACTGCTATTTAACATTTTTAATTTAACACATTTTAGTTTATAACCCGTAGTAACATCACACTCTAGTGTTTGCTCAAAGGTTGAAATGTTTCTTCTATGTATAATAATGTCCGGTATATATTATTTGTTAATAATAGATAATTTGTAATGTTATAATTGAATTTTGAGGTATATGTATAACGACTAGTTAAACAATTTTTTATCTAATAATTGTCTGAACGAATTCCAATTTTGCAATTTAAATCGTTTCCAAAAATCTCATCATGTTCCTTAAATAAATGCTGTACCGTATTCCGGTAATAAAAAACACTTTTCTCATTTTTCTGTGAAGGGATATCCGGGAGTCGAATAACCTCTTCAATTGGGTGTTTGAGTCCGTGACTATGGAAGAGAACGCAGGCGGGGTGTCCTTGTCTCTTCCTTATGTGTGGAGGTTCAACGAAAATTTCACGCATTCTGTCTACGTAAACGCTTCAAGTTTCTCACGCAATACTGGATTCGGTTTCGTTGTGGACGGCCATTTTGCAAAAGTTAATATCACGTTCTCGAACTTTGAGGACAATACGTGCAAGCATGGAACTTTTGCCATGAGGGGCATGGAGAAAGAAATGTTCATTCACGATAACAAGTTTCTACGAAACGTCGGCACTTACATGGTGGAATTTAACATGGACAGTCAGAGTGGTATATTAGGCGACGTTTTCGCTTATTTTGAGTACAACATAGTACAACACAACAAGCATTATCCTGTTACTAAACTCAAGTCTCGAGCCTTCCAAGCAGCGAGCACCGCTATTGTCGTGCGTGGCCTCCAGAAAGTTAACATAACTCACAACTTATTCGGCAGTAACGAGATGGACTATGAGTTATTGGCTGGTTTGTACACGGCACGCATCGAAAATTACATCAACGTTGAGGCAAATTGGTGGGGAAGCGACGACGCTTCCTATATTAGAGAAAGAATCTTTGACTTCAATGACTGGAACAACTTTGCCATCGCCGACTACCAGCCCTTCTTGATCGAGAATAGCTTGAGAGCTGCTGTCAGATCTGAAGGAGGTGGCCATGCTCATGACAATATTGATTTTAATGCATTAGGCGGGCAGCTTTTCAACGATCTCGTCTTAAAATACCGCCCGGAACCTTACATTGTCAAATCTGATCTCACGGTCATGCCAGGAATCACTCTAGACATCAAACCTGGAGTGATAGTGGAGTTCTATCCCAACATCGGTATCCTAGTCCTCGGTCGCTTGCTGGCCGTAGGCATGCGAGGTAACCATATACGTTTCCGGCCTGTGGATCTATCAAGATCTGTTGACTATCGTTACGCGCGTACCACGGATCATCCGCTGGTACGAAGATCTGCGGATGCTTATGAGGATCAAGGATTTAATGCCATCGTGGTTGACAAGGCGAGAGCGACGCGTGCTATTCATTCCTCGAGAGGAGCTTCGCGGTTGCCTATTGATGTCCGGCTCTGCGTGGAGGGAGACTGTGCGAAACGAAGGTTTGTTTTAAAGCTTATATTTCCAATATGTAAATTTGGTATGGTAAATTTTTGGTAAATTTGGTTTGGTGTATTTGGATATACATGTGTACTGTTCGTGATTTCTTTGAAATCCCGCAAAATATGAGATTTGAACTTGTATATATAGTCTTATGTGCCTTTTCATGGTGTTTACGTGAATTCTTATACATATATGATTTTTTGGGTAATTATGTGAAATCTCAAGTACTATTTTCTGATCATTTTATGAACACTTGTGTATAATTGTATAGTATAGTTTTAAGCTTCTTACTCATTACTTTATTGTTTTCATACAGGGATACTTTAAAAGTATTGTTTTAAGCTTCTCTCTGATTATATTATTTTCATACAGGGACGGGTTCTTAGAGTTATACAACAGCACCACACAGCAATGGGTGCCGGTGTGTGATGACCGCTTCACGGAGCGTAACGCGCAGGTTGTATGTCACCAGCTCGGCTACAACAAACTTCACTACTTCATGGGGCGCGACATACGCAATGAGATGTACCCGAACGCGCTGGTACGCGTCAGGACCTGGCCAGAGCCCATCCAGTGTCAAGGTGAGACTTACACTTTTTATCTATTGTAAGGTGACAGAGTAAGCACCCTATTACAATATAAATATTTATCGCTTTTTTAGCTGAAAATTCCTAGTTACAAAATTAATGAAGGAGAAAATTTTTCGCTATTGGAATTTAAATTTGATAGATATTTGATATTGGACTAAAATGCTCTGAATGTAAAGAAGCTAAGTTGTTCAAACTGTAACTGGAATAATATAATATATAGTACCTGTCGGTTACGTCTCTCGCTATAAGCAATCGTTCCTTGGCTAAACGATTACAACAATTTGTTTTGTTATAAATAACTCGACTTAATGTCTTGTGGCTATTTTATTATCTATCGTTTTTATTCATACGAGTCGCAAAAGTTTGTAATCATTTGTGTTTGACTATGTTTGGTACCGGTACTCGAAAAGTACTTATTTATTCGATACACTTGACCTACCACCACATTCACATACCAGCGTGCTTATGATTCACCGTTTTCTCAGGGACGGAGATGAGTTTATCCGAGTGTCCCATCCGCATGAACGGACAAATTTTCGACCACCGCTACGAGTGTTCGTGGAACGGAGACTTCGTGTATATTGCGTGTGGCGAACATCATTTACCTAACCCTGAACTCGAGCACTGGGGCGGTATTAGGTGAGGCTTCGTGAAAAGCTTTATATTATAATAGTATTAGTAATATTATATATTATATTATAGTGATATGAATGATATTATATAATATATTATATATGTATGAGTGGTATCATATAATATATTATAATTATATGAGCAATATTATAAAATATATTATAATGATATGAGTAATATTATATAATATAGTATAATGATATTATAATATTATGATTTCAAGTTCGTCATGATTGATGTGCTACTAAATTGACTTTACTATGCTTGTATACTATGTTAATACGAATGAGGGTTTTGTATGCGAGAATGTGTGGTTTAGAGTTCGTCCTAATATTTTACTTACAACATTGATTGCCTTCGATGACATCCGTAATCTTTCTTTCAAAATTTAGTTGCTATGTTAAACCCGAATCCGATCTTGTGTCTAACCTCACAAAATCAATGGAAATTTTTAACTGTTTTGCTCAGGTCCTCCATTGCCAACTTTTATTCAAAATCAGTGAATAATTTTTAAATATTATTTAAATTAAATTTAAATATTTATTCAATAATAATTTTTTTAAATATTTAGCTCAGGTTCTCCTTAGTCTTCTAGCCAACTTTTTAGCGCATTTTCTACATAATGAAAAAATGCACTATTGTGCTCGCCATGTTCGTCCGTCTGTCTGTCTGTCCGTCCGTGACTTCACGTTTTCGTCGACGAGAAAAGCGCTCTCTGTCGCTCACTGCAGTGAGCACTGAGTTATATTTTTTTTCTTTCGTTCAGGTTTTCGATCGCAAGCTTCGAGCACAGCCGTATATTCAGCCGTATCCACGACCCTCACACCCACCACCACGGGCCGTACAACAGCTCAGCATGGCCCTCCATCCTCGAGTGGGTTGATGTGCTGGGTGCTGGTGTGCTGCACAACGAGTTCTCCCCCGCCATCATGTCCTTCCATGACCCACCTAGACTCAGGGGTGTGTCAGTGACATATTCTGCCCACGATGGCGTCTCGCTCATCTCTGCCGTGGACGCGTTCGACATGCTGTATAACAGGTCAGTCCGGAATGCAGCTATTATTTCATATTCATTATGATGAAGAAATATAACTCAGTACTCACTGCAGTGAGTGACAGAGAGGTTAAGGTAGTATGAGATAGTATAGCCTAAAGTATGAGGTAGTATGAGGTAGTATAGCCTAAAGTATGAGGTAGTATGAGGTAGTATAGCCTAAAGTATGAGGTAGTATAGCCTAAAGTATGAGGTAGTATAGCCTTTTAAACAAAACAAAGAACCACCTCGTATCAATTAAAACTTCATCAAAAATTTAGTTTAAAAAAAGTGGGGGGCGCGCTGCCCCACGTTACCCTATCAACCATCAAAATCCTGATTGAGACGTGAATTTGTGAATTTTTTGGCCCGAAAGATTTACAGATTTACTCCATTACAATTTCAGTTTCCATTCAACGAAACAGCAAAATTCTGATTTATTTCCAGGTTTGAGAAGAACTTAGGCTACGGGGTCTCTCTCATTGGTCTCTCTGGTGAGACGAGAGAGTCAGACGAATCATCGTTCGTGCCGCTGACGCACGTACGTCTTCCGTACCACGTCTTCGGCATGGTCGACATCTGTGACTCTGCCAAGGAAATGGTCATCGAGGAACGTGTCTTGCTCTACTACAAATACGACAACAGACCTGTCGATTGCGTCAAGATCTTCTCGTCTGTTTATAACGTTAAAAATTTCGGTATCAGGTTAGTTCAGCTTTCGTGGTTATATGTTTTTGGACGTAAATTAATCTGATATTTTGCCTAGGCGAGTACAAAAGCATAAGTAATTGAAATGAATTATGACTAATTTTTTATCCAATGAATTCATAATAATTTTGTTTTGCACGAATTGAAACTCCTATTTAGCATTCAACTTATATTGATTTATTTCTAATAAATTGATTTCTGCCTAACTGATGATGCAGTAGTGTTAGATTCTTTCGTAATACCAATTGTATTCACCAGATTCCTTCAGTTCAATTTGTTCAACTCCACGTGGGACTCTAGTGCTATTCTCGACCGTCTATTACTGTATGACGGCGACGTGTACAACGAAACCAGCACAATCATTGCATCGCTGCACGCCAACACCACCAACCACATGAAGCTCTTCAAGACCGTGGGCACCCGCCTGTCCGTACAGCTGCATGCCACAGGCGCCTCTGGCTCCTTCGGATTTGTTGCTGAGGTCCTCACGCTCCCCATCTCAAATATCGGCATTGGTCAGTGTTTACTAATGTTACGGTTATTTGAGCGACAACTTGACCGTTGTTACGGTTTTTTCGGTTATATGTGGATGGGGCCACAGCCTCCGTACTCTTATGATGAGTTTTGGAAAATGTCAGTCCGCGGTCACGTTGATGTTCCGCTTTTTAACCGCATCCTATAATGCCTACCCACTAGACCACGTGTGGGACTTACCCAGACTACGTTGTAGGCTTCTTGCTATAGTAGTTTTATCTATTTTAAATCTTTAAGAAAATGTGAACGCTTTCATTATGCTTATTTGGTAGGTTTAATTCATATTGGCTGCTGAAGCATTAACAGTATTTTCAGTGAATATAGGTCACTAGAAAGACAACCGTTTTCATCTCGTTGCCTAATATTGTTTGCCTCTTTCCAAGCTTTACGAATATTTTTCTAGGTCGTGAGCCTCACTAATATCATTTCAGGTCATGCATGAGCTTTACGAATATTTTTTCGTCTCATGAGCCTTAGAAATATTTTTTCCAAGTCATGAGCCTCACGAATATTTTTTGGGCTCATGAGTCTTGGAAATACTTTCCCAGATCACAAGCCTTACGAATATTTTTAGTCTTAAGAGCCTTAGAAATATTTTTCCAGGTAATGAGCCTTACGAATATTTCCAGGTCGTGACGTGCTGCAGAACTTCACGTACAACGAATACTACAACAACGAAGAGGGGGCGATGTTCTGTGCCACGGCAGGGGAGATAAACCCCTGGCTCACGGTATCCTGGAGTCGTATCGAGAACAACGGCCTCAAACTCTACGGAAACTTCACCACTACACGCGCTGTTCTTAATTTCGATCTGCAGAACGTGCAGGATGTCTTCATCAAGGTTTGTTGAATGTTCAGATTATGTAATGTTCGTTTTCTTGTTTTTATTGTGTGGTGTACATTTTGTATTTCAATTGTGTTGAAATTATTTACCTGCTGTAGGTCCCAGATAACTTCTTGGAACGTAATGTTTATTTAGTATTTAAAATGTGTTGAAATAATTGATCTGCAATGCGTCCCAGATAACTTCATCTACGTTGTTTAAGTGTGTCATTTTGTAGTTGACCACTTGAGATGGCATCTAAAAATTAACCGTGATGGGACTGCTCAGTGAAGCAGCATTCAATACAATAAACAAATAAACATCAGTCATAAATTCGTCAATGCCATAAACAATATAAATCCAACAAATTCTCTGAAACTAAAATGGATCTATCCTTCCTCCAGAACAACCTGATCCGTAACAACACGGGCGGTGTTTACATCCTGACAGGCTCCATGGGGGCCGCCACCAAACTCCAAGCCAACATCACCAATAATCTTTTCCTGGAGACACAGCACCGGCCTGCTCTCTATATTGAATCCCGCGCCATGTCAGCATACCAGCACGCATCCATTAGAAATAATGACTTCAGCTTCTCTTTCTCACCGTACCACGATGTCATCACTCTTGCTCAGGTATTGAATGGATACGATACCGTATGACATGTTAGTGATGATGTTACTCACCATACCACTATGTCATCACTCTTGCTCAGGTATTAAATGGATACGATACCGTATGACATGTTAGTGATGATGTTATACTCACCATACCACGATGTCATCACTCTGGCCCAGGTATGGAATGGAAACAATACCGTATGACATGTTAGTGATGATGTTACTCACCATACCACGATGTCATCACTCTGGCTCAGGTATGGAATGGAAACAATACCGTATGACATGTTAGTGATGATGTTACTAACCGTACCACGATGTCATCACTCTGGCTCAGGTATTGAATGGAAACGATACTTTATGACATGTTTGTGATGATGTTACTAACCATACCACGATGTCATCACTCTTGCTCAGGTATTGAATGTAAACGATACCGTAAGACATGTTAGTGAAGATGTTACTCACCATACCACGATGTCATCACTCTGGCTCAGGTATTAAATGGAAACTATACCGTATGACATGTTTACTTACCATATCTCGATGTCATCACTCTTGCTCAGGTATTAAATGGAAACGATATCGTATGACATGTTTACTCACCAGCCAAGTAAGAAGGTTTTTCCTACGTGCAAAATCTCCAATTTGCTCCTAGTCTCCCGTTAGTTATAGGACAGTTTCCACGGCCATATTTCACTAATGTTGCTCTGTTGTTTAGGTTATTTCAGATTTTAGCTACAACTACGCCCATGCCAACCTAGGCCGCCACATCCTCGACATCTACGGCTTCGAGAGAGTGCGTCTACCTGTCTACCAGACTACCTCGCACAACAGTCTCGCCAGGTCATTATTTCAATAATATCTCTACAGTCTCGCCAGGTTATTATTTAAATAATATCTCTACAGTCTCGCCTGGTTATTATTTCAATAATATCTACAGTCTCGCCAGGTCATTATTTCAATAATATCTACAGTCTCGCCAGGTTATTATTACAATAATATCTCAAAAGTCTCGCCAGGTTATTATTTAATATTTCAATAATATCTACAGTCTCGCCTGGTTATTATTTCAATAATATCTACAGTCTCGCCTGGTTATTATTTCAATAATATCTACAGTCTCGCCTGGTTATTATTACATTAATATCTCAAAAGTCTCGCCCGGTTATTATTTAAATAATATCTCAAAAGTCTCGCCAGGTTATTATTACAATAATATCTCAAAAGTCTCGCCAGGTTATTATTACAATAATATCTCAAAAGTCTCGCCAGGTTATTATTTAAATAATATCTCTACAGTCTCGCCAGGTTATTATTACAATAATATTTCTACAGTCTCGCCAGGTTATTATTTAATAAAGTCTCGCCAGGTTATTATTTCAATAATATCTCAAAAGTCTCGCCAGGTTATTATTTAAATATTAAGTACACAGCCACGCCTGGTTATTATTTAAATAATAACTATTAGTACAAATAAGATTAAGTTCTTTATGAATTGGTTCAAACCTGTATGAAGAAATGCTGTGAAGAATTCGATTGTTTTTGTCGTGTAGTGCCATCCATCAATGAGATGAATTTGAAAATTTTCCTCTCAATTATTCTCTAACGGTAATATCTGATTGCTAATTATAACGGTTGGGTCCAGACGGTTGGGTTATAACAAGCCAACCCAATCATTTCTTTAATTTAACATTCAATGATTGTTCAGGAACCAGGCTGTAGATCAAACAATCTCGCCTAATCATCTAATTTATTTATTATTCCTACTACTACTACTCATTGCTACTACTACTTATTCATTATTAAATTATTGTTCAGGAACAAGGCAGTAGACCCAACAATCCTACCCACCGAAAATCTCACCTAGTCATCTCATTTATTTATTATTCCTACTACTACTACTACTACTACTACTCATTACCACTACTTATTTATTATGAAATGGTTGTTCAGGAACCAGGCAGTACATCTAACAATCCTACCCACCAAAAATCTCACTTAATCATCTCATTTATTTATTATTCCTATTACTACTACCCATTGCTACTACTTATTTATTATTGTATTATTGTTCAGGAACCAGGCAGTGGACCCGACGTACCAGGGCACCATCATCGTGGGCAGCGCGGGCCAGCAGTTCGTTGACAACGTCTTCTACAACTGGGACAACGCATACGAGATGGTCGCTGTCAACGAGTCTGTGTGAGTAGCTGTGTGAATAGCTGTGTGAGTGACGCATGTAACACAGTGACTCCTACGTGTAGGACTAAGACGAGTCTGTGTGAGTAGCTGTGTGAGTGACGCATGTAACACAGCGACTCTTACGTGTAGGACTAAGACGAGGCTGTGTGAGTAGCTGTATGAGTAGCGCCCCAACACAGCGACTCTCACGTGTAGGATTAAGACGAGATGTTGAGTTTGTTTTTTTACCTTCAACTTTGTATGTCGCTGGGGCTGTGCTATAAACGAGTTAATTATACAATTGCCATTCAATGTTACCCTAATACCCCTGCCATTTTTACCCTTCAATGTTGAGATCACCAATTTTCTGACTGGTGTAGCAACAGAATTTTTTTTATCGATATCCTCAATTTGTTGTTCCTAAATAATGTAGTTTTTACATAGAAATGAACGATTTTCTCTTAATTTGACGTGTGTAAATTTTCTCTGTTTATAGACATTAACTAGGAGTAATGTTAATATATCTTTTTATAATATATGGCCTGAAGTAGAAAATCATAATGAATTTCTTTTAAGTCATGCTTGAGTTCGTTATTATTGTGTATTAATACATAGAAACAAAATTTACTAGGATGCTTAGAGATCATTTTCGAAAATTCCAAGTTTCCAAATGCTGTTGAAGTATTGCTTTCTTGGCTAGGATATTTGTGTTCAATTCTCTAGCTTATCCATTCCTACATTAAACTCTCATTGCATTGCTGTTTCAATTGTTTGAATTATTCATGTTTGGAATATCAAACTCTATCCCTCCTTTCCTCTGGCCAAAATGTGTCACAATTTCAACTTTGAGCAAACTCTTCTGTAATTTCACAAAGTTTTTCTTCCACACTTTTTTTTAAAGTTTCCTATTTTTCTTGATGCTATTCATTGAAGGTCTGTTTCTCCATTTAATCCATATTCTTTATTCTTCTGCTATTTCTTCTTCTAATGTGATGTTCTCCCTCATATTCAATTTGATTGTTTTCTCTGAGCCTTGCGATGCTCATTCTATTCTCCTATCCTTTCAGCATAATCGTGTCTGTTTTTTGGGGGTATTCCATTCTATATTTGTTTGAATAAACAAAATTTGTGTGATTATTTTTGTGCCTACGCCTACACCATCGTGTTACTTATCACTTTTATTAGTATAGTATCATTATGATTTATAAACATTCGCCTTTAGCATTCATTTGTATGTAAATAAGAAATCATCATAGCTAATGCTCAACTCTTATTTGTTCACGATTAAATACAATAGTGTATAAGAAATCTAAATTTAGCAAATTGGTGCCTATAATTTTCAAATTTTCCCTCTTTGATTCCTTACTTGAAAACCGCCTACGTGGATGAGTCTTGCATCGTTTTCTTACAAGATGTCCCTTTTTCCTTTCCTTTTTTCGTTGCTATTCTATTTGATTAAAGTGATTTATTTATGGGGGATTTCTTGTGGTGGCTGCCCAATTGATCATTTGATTTTACCTCTCATGCGTGATCTTAACTTTATCCCATCTCCTCTTCTGCACTTTTGCTGGTGACCGTTGGTGGCACGCGAGCAGATCTGGTTTTCATAGGTAAGATACAAAAAATTATAGATAAAAATAATAGAAGTTAGCATTTAATCATATTCAATTCTTCGCATGACCTATAAAATGTTCATACTATGATCTTGAATGGTAAAGTATTTATGACCATCTTCTGCCACGCCAAACTCGCTTCAATAAATATACCGAGGCAACTGAAAAAGTGTGGGTCGTTGTATCCGAATATTGACGATACGCCCGTCTGGCGAAACTGGGTCAGGATGACCCACACAAGGGCTAAAGTACATCACTATTTGCTCAAATTTTCACTCATTTCTCTGAGTGTGAATAATTGTATAGGGGTGATATAGTATATCACCACATATATAAATATATCCCCATGCCTTGATGCAGGTAAGTCGAGAAACGGTGTTGCATGTGTGGTACAACGTTATATGCATGCGCGTTTAATACAGCGCGTTCTGCATTGATACAGGGTTGTATATAGAACAGCGCTGTGGGTTCTGAGTACAGGATTTTCCAATTTTCGCTTGCTTTTAAGGCATCCTGCTTCTTTATCTTTCATTTGGTTCTCAACAAATGTAAGGTGTTACAGTCGTTCTGTCTTGTTATTTTTTCTCTACGTACTTAATTTAAATTGAGACTGTCTGTGGTTAAAATGATCGCATATTGTACCGTGCTGAGCCTAAGTGTAATACTTTCATACGGCTAGAACATTTCCCGTTAAAATCAATCTAGTGTATTTTTATTCTGGGAGCTTTCCAATTGAGCTTCGCGTACTTTTAAGTTTCTGAAGCCTTCATTTCTTTTATTCGGTGAATTTGCGCATCTTTACGCACTCTATTTCTTTTTTTTCGTCTTGCATGATTTCGCTTGCTCTCAGCTCTGTAATTTTCTCCTTCCTCGTGCATGCTTCTATGGATCACCTCGCAAAAACCGTTCATTACATTTTGCAATAGCAATATTTTCACCTTGCAAAGTATTTTTCACCGTCAATTCATTTTTCACGTTGCAAAGGGATTTTTTTCACTTTGCAAAAGCTTTATATGACGACGAAATTCTCAAGTAATTACTGAATAGTCTTGGCACTCTACTCCATCTTTACGATGTTAACGTATATACTCGCTCTCGCCACTTGCATGATCTTCCACTCTTGCACCGCCGCACTATCCTCCACCAGTCGGTGCAACATTTCCACCGAGTGCTCGGACAGTTGGATGTATCAGCCCGACGTTACAAGCACGTAAGTGTTTATCATTCGTGTACGAAACTCGTAGAGCATTTATAGGCTCAGCAACTGTCCCATTAGTTCAATTAATATTTTAGAAAAATTTGAAACTACCTTCGCATTCATAGCAGTTTTTTGTTCCGCAAGCGAACTTTGATTCCAACCAGGTATGTAACTGTTTACTGAATTGCCCTGGCATTTTTTATTTGTGATAATAGAATTATTTGTTAAACATATATACCTGTTAAGAATACGTTGGCTGTTGGACTTTAAACATATCATAGATAAGTATTATAAACATATCATAGATGTGTTTAACTAAGCTTTGCTTGAGACCACCAGCCCTCCAAGTTTGTTGCGGTGCCCATAGCGTGGTCAATGGAAAACAGCGGCAGTTGAATGGAATATAAAATGAATAATTATTTTATATTCATTCATAGCACTAAATTAAAACACATATCTCTGATATTCTTCCATTCTATGTTAGCTTCATACAAAAATTTAACTACTAATGGCTTGTACTTTACCGTGTAGAGATAAACATTTTGATTACAAGGTATATAAAGTTTCTAGATTCGCTTCGCGCTCTGACAGGAATAACTAAAGACTTTGAGTATATATGGAACCACTACAGCGACGCAAAATTCAATTGACGTGCACCTCTTGGCCTGGGGCGACGTGCGTTTTCGAGACACTGCAGCGACGTTAAAATCAACTGACGTGTTTTAAATTCAACTGACGTGTGTTAACTTCAACTGACGTGTATTAACTTCAACTGACGTGTATTAACTTCAACGGAAGTATATTATCTTCAACTGACGTGTATTAACTTCAACTGATGCGTATCAGCTTCAACTGACGTGTATTAATTTCAACTGACGTGTATTAATTTAAATTGACGTGCATTATCTTCACCTAACGTGTTTTAATTTCTCCAGACGTGTTATTTTCACGTGACCTGTATTATCTTCAACTCACGTGTATTAACTTCAACTGACATGTAGTAACTTCAACTGACGTGTATTAACTTCCCCTGCCGTGTACCACATGACCAGGTCTGACGTGTGGAAGGCCCCTATCAACGCGCGCAACAACTGGTGGGGTTTCAACACGACCGTGGCCGTGTCGGGGCGCATACACGACAGACTCGACGACTACACTCTCCACAGCGTCGACTTCTCGTGAGTGTCAATTATATTAATCTCTATCTATAATATTCCTGCATTAAGTTCTCATTTTATTGCGCTACTTATTTTGTTTGTAGTTTACTAATAAATGTATTGTGATACACTCTCCTCAGCGTTGACTTCTCGTGAGTCTCTCTACTGTTTCTTGTATTAGTAATATTTATCTAAAATATTCGTGCATTTAGTTCTTATTTTATTGCTCCACTAATTTTGCTTGTAGTTTACTAATAAATGTATTGTGATACACTTTCCTCAGCGTCGACTTCTCGTGAGTCTCTCTACTGTTTCTTGTATATTAGTAATATTTATCTAAAATATTCGTGCATTTAGTTCTTATTTTATTGCTCCACTTATTTTGCTTGTAGTTTGCTAGTAAATGTGTTGTGATTGCAATTTATGATATATAATTTTTTTGTAATATATTTACCATATTTAATTTATATAGCTGCATTCTTATTTGATGTTGTCCCGATGTCCAGGGAGTTCAAGCTGAACAACTATACTCTGCTATCATTTCTATTGATCATAGGATTTTTTAAACTGTTTTATTATCTACCATACAATAAATTTCCATGTTATCTCTATGGTCAGCGAGTTTAAACTGAACAACTACACGCTGCTGTCGTCTGTATTTATCCTTTATTTTTTCAACTGTATTATTATATCTACAATAAATTTACATGTTTTTTTCATTGTTCAGTGAGTTTCAGCTGAAGTTACTCGACTATCAATTCTATTTAATATTTTTTTAAACTTTTATTGTCTAAACAATAATTTCCATGTTTTTTTCTCTATGTTCAGCGAGTTTAAACTGAACAACTACACGCTGCTGTTCGGGTGTGAGCCCGGCTATACGCTCATCGGGGACGCCTGCTACCACTACGTGGGTGCCCCCATGACCTACGCTGAGGCTAAGAGCTTCTGCAAGAGAGATAACGCCTCCCTGCCTTTCCTCCAGAAATATTATGGAGAAGTCCAGGTATATTGTCCCAATATTATGGAGAAGTCCAGGTATATTGTCCCAATATTATGGAGAAGTCCAGGTATATTGTCCATATATTATGGAGAAGTCCAGGTATATTGTCCTTGCCTCTTTCTTCTGTCAAATAGGTTTTGAACTTGAGTATATTGTCGTAAGTCAATTAAATACAGTTCTGTTATTCTTTTTCATCGTACTCGGTATTTAAGGTTAAAATTTTTTACTTAAAAACAGTAATATGTAAGTTTAATATTCATTACGTTACCATATTCGGTATTCAAGCTTGAAATTTTTAGCTTGAAAGCAGTAACATTCTATTCCAATATAAGTTATGTTGTGCATATAATGGCTGAAAAGCTGCAAAATGTAACACTAATGATATTTAATACTTTGTGTACAGTTATGGCCGAAGGAGATCCAGCTGGAGTATCTGTGGAAAATGTAACTTTAATGATATTTATTACTTTGTGTACAGTTATGGCTGAAGGAGATCCAGCTGGAGTACCTGTGGCAGACGGACGCCGTGTGGGTGCAGCACTACGATGTGGTCACCGGCTGCGCTGCCTTCGTCAACAGACAAGTGCGCTCCACTGACTGCTCTCTGAACCTGCCTTTCATATGCGAGAGTGGTGAGTGGTGGTGTTAGTGTAGTGAGTGGTGATGGTAGAGTGGTGAGTGGTGCTGCGTATAGCATGGACTGCTCTCTGAACCTGCCCTTCATATGCGAGAGTGGTGAGTTGTGATGCGTGTAGCACGGAGGGCGGTGAGGGGTGCTGCGTGTAGTATATCTGCTCACATATCTTACTGTCATTCGTGTTACCGTTCAAGATTGAATCTTATTAAAATTGAAGTTACTAATTTTGATAGCCTTGCGTGAACATTTTCTCTTGCATTGGTAAGGGAATATCGCAATATTGAATTTATTTGCGATGTTTTAATTTGGATTCGATTAATTCGATTTCGATTTGTATTTAATGTTGCGATCAAGCATTCTTCACCACATTTAGCGTGCTTTATTATCGAGAAGGATATATTTAGTGAATAAATTAGTTGACTTATTTAATTAATTGATTGATTTATTTAATGATATTGAATTTTTGCTCCATTTAATCTGTTTGAATTTATTATCGAGAAAGCGTGAACAGTCGTTTGACCGTTTATTAACAAGGTATGCCTTGGTTGGACGAGCCAATATCACAATCCGGTCTGAGGTGTTCGACTTGCTTAGACTTATGAAGTGCTAATGCACATAATGTCAGAGCTCATTTTATTAAGCTCTACCTAAGGATCGGGTTTCGTGACTAAGGTCGTGAAGGTAAGTAAGACACGTGTGTCTAGATAACATATCTTGTATACGGGGTGGTTATACATTACGATACAGAGGTATAAGCTACGACGTCGACCGTAAGGTCGGAGAACACAACCGACGCGTTACATCACTGAGCGCTTATCAACTACTGCGGAGGCCTTATTTAAGGTTGCTAGCCCTTTTATAGGCTTCGCTTCTGCCCACTACTAAGGTTTTGGTTGCATGATCTATCACGTGTCTTCCAGATGTTGACTCTTCATGAATCTCTATCAGGTTAAGTGAATATTACGTCTCAATTACATACAATAATAATGATTATAATGAGACGCCGGATTGACACCGGACAATAAGACGGATCCTGACTCTTTCTACCACGCATCTGATGTTGAAATAACGTTGAATTAATTTTATTTCAACGATATCAACTCTAAATCAACGTAGTTTCAACGTCATTATCCTGGAATAAATTTCCTGCAGATCCGAACAACTCAGTGGACCCGTACGCGTGGGCCTCAGACACGCTGGTTCTTGGTGCCATCGCGGCCACGATCGGGTGTCTGATCCTGGTGGTGGCGTGCGTGTCGTGCTGGGTCTGCAAGAGTCGTGACCGACGCAAGGACAGGCTCTCCAGACGCAGCTCCATACGCGCCTCCATCCGCTCCAACCGAAGCTGCATCTCAACCGCCTCCACAAGCGGCTACAGCATCGCTAGTCACAACCGGGGCACTCTCGAGGTCTGGTTTCAGTTAATTTTTAAAGATACTATTTCATTTTCCAGACTACTACTTGGACTAGCCATAACTTTATGTACTGAAAAATCTAGAAAAAATTGTAAATTTATCATCATGTATTCATCGAAAGAGTTTAGGAGACCAGCTCCATAGTCAAGTAAAAAAAATTCATGGAATGCCGGAACAATCTCTTGATAAAGCCAAAATTCATACAAATTATCATTTAAAGAACTAATTATATAAGTACTTTCGTATGATAGTAACGGTATTAAGTGCTGAAGTGTTCAGTTGGGCTCGGATGCAAACTTCCTGAAAACATTCAGCCTTGGACTTGGACGCAAGTCCTATCAAAAATGTTGTACATTCCCCACAACCAAGAATGTTACTGTGGTGTTTAGTGTCAACTTGACTGCACAAATTGCAGTTGTTTAATTGGTTTACACCTAAATAAAAATATAGTATAGAAATAAATAAATAAAGCGCTGCCATTTTTCAGAACCCAAACGCTCGGTCCCACCCGACGACCGCAGCGAGCAGCACGACTAACGGCCTGGTGGGGGCGGCGGGGGCAGAAGGGGGGCGGCAGGTCATGGGGCGCGAGGGTAACTTAAATAATGGCCTCAGCAGCTCCCTGGACTCCATCAACAAGCCTGGCCTCAACCCGTCCATGAATGATGAGGCCGACCTCGTGTCCTACGACTCACGCAGCCGCGACGGTCACTTCAATGTCCATCTTGACGACAGGTGATTGTGTGTCCATCTTGACGACAGGTGATTGTGTGTCCATCTTGACGACAGTTATATATTTGCACCGAATATAGAATTACTCAGTTATTTTGTTGGATCTTGAAGTTAATCATATTCCTATACTCTATTTAGAACAAAGCTAAATTTAGATCGATACTGTAACGTATATCTGTACTTACGTTCATATCTGTTGCCTAGATACGCGCATGATCCCGCGTTGGAGAACGCTAACATCGACTTGATGACGCGGCCGACGTTCGACACGACGTACCAGAACTCGTACTTCTTGGGCACGTCGCCTGTGGCGTCTACGAACCTGCCGTCAACGACGTGCTTGGCCGACGACATGGCGATGCAGCGCGGCCCCGGTAGTGCGCATGACCAGACGAGGTTGGTTCTTGTTCTTTTCGGGTTCCGGTGCCGTGCTGTCAAAAATAACGAAGATTTTGTAACTTTGTTATCTAATAACTGAAAGGCTTACGAGGTAAGCTCACCAATATCAGACGATAAATTGGCAGCTACGTGTACTTAGGCCGCTACGTGTACTCAGGCCGCTACGTGTACTCAGGCCGCTACACGTGTACTCAGGCCGCTACGTGTACTCAGGCCGCTACTACTTAGGCCGCTACGTGTACTCAGGCCGCTACGTGTACTCAGGCCGCTACGTGCACTCGGGCCGCTACGTGTACTTAGGCCGCTACGTGTACTCAAGCCGCTACGCGTACTTAAGATAGATTTAATAGAACGGCCACAAGTACTCGTCCTCCATTCTGGTGAGATACTGCGCGACTGGGATCCCAAATGACATCGAAAGTACAGTTTGTACGCATCCTCAGCCACGCAAAACGTGTGTTAGCATGCTTTCTTTATCTTTTATTTTTAATATCCCCAGATTTGTGTCATTTTGTTCCGGTTGGTTGCTGCTTCTCTGCCTTGAGTTTGTTATGACATTTGCTGATCACTTTTTATTCCAATTTGAACGCAATGTGCCGTAGCAGTCACGTACATTTTGAACGCACTCAAGTCATTCTATTGTTCTCATCATCCTGGAATTCCGAATTACGTTAATCCAGGATTCATTCTTATCTCATTGCTAGAACACCACATCAATCAAACAAAAAATTCACTAAGCGTATCGCTATTTTATTTTAAACTTCTATCCGTAAATCTTTCATTGCGCCACTTCCTTCAAAATACCGCTTTTCCCATCTCCTCGAAGAGACCAGCATATTGGCATGTGCCCTATAATACACAAATTGAACAGGTTTACTCCTCTGACCTAACCTACAAATTTACTAACATATATACATACTACTTATTTCGTTCCTTCATTCTGTTTAATGCTATCTAACACGCGGCTTGCTTCAGGTAGAAACTCATCAAATGCTTGATTCTGTGTGTAAACTACTTTAATTTAATATTATAATAACAGTTTAGTGATGACACTCACTATCTTCTTACAATTTGTAAAGTATAGAAGTTCTATTTTTTTCTCACATGACGCCATGACGAAACTCGACCAAAATTACAGATACTTCAACAACTTGCCTTCATGTTCCATTTCGAAATTTGACCAAATATTCTTTGTGCATTTTTTTCTTAGCAGAGTTATGTTGACCGGTTCGAGCAGTCAAAGCTTCTGATATTAGTACAGACTGCCAGTGTCTCTTAGCAGACTACGGTATTTTGTTGAACGGGTGTCTGCCTGCAAGAATTGTCTTTTTTTTTCATTTCGTAAAGCTGACGATACACCAGCTCTCGCAGTTTCACTTTAATTTCGATTTTATTTTCTAATTGTTATCTTTTAACTTATTTCACTGTTGGTATCTCAAGTGCCCAAAGTTCCTTTTATAACACAGATGCCAAATTGGAAAGAACCCTAAGTAATATTTTTTACCAGACCTTCGTTTCTGCCTTTTTTAAAATTCTATTCATTCCACATCACTCACTCGCATTTTTTTTAATTTGAAACATTCATTTTACTGAAAGTAACTGCCATCGGTTTGCATGGACACATAGCATGTTTAAGACTTCCTTTTAACTCCTGACTTGTGGTGCTACAGCGAGAAGTTCTCAAGCTTCTCTGCAGGGGGCAAGAACGTTGCGGTGAGAAGTCCTCATTCCCGCTACAGTGTTCACAACTCATCACGCAACCTTTGGTCTAAGAACCAGTCTAACATATACAACACGCTCAGGTAAGGACTTGTGACTGACTTGACCAAGTTTATTCTCGTAAAGCTCGACGATGCTATTGATGAAGTCAGCTACACTGTGGATTAATGCAACCATTTAACCACCAGCGCATGCTTCTTATACTAGAGTAACTATTGTGTAATTATAACTCACTCATGCTCATATCAGTAGCCTCATTGGCCTTTGGTTTCAGTTCGCCAGTTCTAACGCATGACAAGAATTCAATTAATCTTTTGAAAATTACGAAAAAAAAATAAAAATTTATGAAAAATTATAACCAGTTTTCCAGAACCATTCCCAGATATTTTGCTGTGTTTATGTTCTACTTATTCTACACTCCCGAGTTGTTGTAATCCTTTCAGTATTAGTGTAGGATTTGGTCAGTGATCATGCATCCCGTTCTTATTTGGCCTAGAACTCTTGAGATAAGGGAAATTTATGTGCTTGTCTTCAGCCTATGTGGAAAATGATAATTAAATGTTCAGATTAAAATAAAGGAAATCTCCGTCCCAGTTGAACCGTATTCAAAACTCGGTGCAACTTGATGAATCGATTTCTGATGTTGTGGAATATTTTTGTGAGAGAATGAATTTCGAGTACCGTATCATGGTCCCTAGGGTAACGATCATGGTACTCAACGTAGGTACTCAACGATCGATCATGGTTTTAGTTCCTTACAATGTCCTACGTAGCTGTTTAGTGCTACTTGGTTCTTGTCTTACTCACTTAATTTTTAAGCGCCAATGGCGGTATCGGGACTTACGGTGATTGAATGGTATTCAAAACCACAGTTAAAACACCCATGGCATGTCTCTTGATCACCCGTGTAAAGTTGACACTTTAACTACAGAGTTTTATTCGTATCAGGCTATCACCTTGAGTTTTTTTCATATATTTTCATTTAATTCAACACATTCAACCCTGGGTGCACATCCCCTCCCCAACAGCACCCGCGACGTGTCCCAGACACACTACGAGGTAATCCCCGTACCCATAAGCTTGGGGCAGCGCCCTAACACATCGACGCGACGCATCAACGGAAACACTTACCAGGCCGTGGCTCAGCAGCAGCATGACCAGAATAAGAGAAGACCTAAATCTCACGTTGGGTAAAACAGAATTTTTTACGCTCTCTGAATTGTGATCAATAATTGACGCTTGGGGCTCAAATGTCCGTGAATTGTGTTTAATAATTGACGCTTGGGGCTCAAATGTCCGTGAATTGTTTAATAATTGACGCTTGGGGGTCAATTGTCCGTGAATTGTGTTCAATAATTGACGCTTGGGGCTCAATTGTCCGTGAATTGTGTCCAATAATTGACGCTTGGGGCTCAAATTTCAGTGGTATTATGTGAAATAATTCCTCCCCGTAACCCGGCGCCTTGGATACCTGCTGCTGCCCTACCCTTGTATTGTGGATGATTTCTACAGCTTCTGATTTTATTAATTGTCATAATAGTTTGCTCTGTACATATCTTAGCTTAATCTCATGCTTCTATCATGCCTGTGAAGTTGGTTTTTATGCCCACTAAACAGCGCATATGACTTCGCCTCAACCCGCCAGCCTTTTGTACAAATAAATTCATTTTCAGTGTGTGTATATATTGTGTATATTTTCTGAACTATACGTCCAGCACGCTGCATGTTGTATTTAGTAATAGTCATTTTTAACGGCCGTCTCTACCGTCATTATAGTTGCATTGCGTAGCACCTGCCATTTGTTATTATTTATCATATCGTTGTCTCTCTGTGCTTTAGTTCGTTGCGTTCGATTGTTTGTGTTTACACTGTTAATTTTACGTGTGCACAAATTAATTCTTCTCGTGTTAAATCTCGTGACTTTTGTTGAATGTGAGAGTTCGTATGTTCGTTTGTTTTGCTGAGCTATATTCTCTGTACATGCTTAAACCGCACGCTGGCCATTACCTACCTGACATGTAAAAGCATTATATGACATTCTCGTTTATAGTATTGCATTTATTAGACATGCACCGCATATGATCAGTAATAACCATCCAATAATATATGTGAAGTTATAAATTATTATATTCAATTCTATCAAGGTATATTTAAATTAAACGTGTAATTGCACACGAGGACAGTAGTAGTGGCCTGTAAAACTTTCAGATGCTAACCGCCACCATTACCGCGTGCTACTGACCTGGTGTATAGACATCAACGTCCACGGAATGTTAGGCCATTACACGATAATAATACACGAGGCCATTAACATGATAATTAGTCGCAATTACCAATTGAAATTTGTACTGGTCGCCATTAGTGTTCTCGTGCATTTAAGCAAGCACCTTGTTAATGTCGGGTCACTAAATGCCCATACCCACAAACTGTCATTATTGTATTTCGTTTGGTGCATCACAGCTGCGCAAGCTATACTTGCAGGTAATCTGGCATATTGTGTTAACGATGTGCCTTTAATTCCCTGCTATTATCATTTACTTGATTAAAATTTCTTATGATTCTTTGTCTATTTGTTTATCGGGCACGATTGATTTTAATTTATACAAACTTTAGTTTAATACATTTTACATTTACAGTATGTATGCTATTACATTCACTGAGTTCACTCACAAGCTGCAAATTAAAGATAAAACTCTATGTGACCAAATTTTTTATTTGTGATCTAAAATTCTCATGAATTTTTCCCTTCCTCTCCACGCAGTCTATCATCGAGCTATCGCTTCGGGTCCGTCGGTGGCGGCTCAACCCAAAACCTACAGGAATCTGCAGCGCCGCTGGCGTCGTCATTCGGCACTCCTGCGGGTGGCAGCGTCGCGTCAGGCCACTCATCTGGTAACGGCGTACGTCACATGAACGACATCACTCCTCCTGACGAGATGTACAACACCGCAACCTTACCACGCGACTACCCTCCTAGCGATTACCCTCCTCCACCTCGTTATCCTTCACAGGATAACCTCGTCCACGGCAGTCAGCTCAACCAATACAGCCAAGAGCTAGGACAACCACCCCAATACAACCAAGAGCTAGGACAACCACCCTACTCCAGCAGCTCTTACCTGCCTCCTAGCCAACCTTTCCACATGCAGAGCGACACGCAGCTCGCCAATAGTAGATCGCTAAGCTCAAGCCAGCCGCTGGAAACTTCCATGTAGACCTTGTCGGCTAAGATTATTAATAATTTTTTGTGTAAAGCTGATTTTTTTGTGCAAGCTGATGTGTAAAAATATTGATAACTAAGACGCTTTCATAACTTCTACGATATTTTGTATATTTATTAATGTGGAAAGATTTGCCACCAAGTGACTTCTAAAGCTTGCGTATATTCTGTGATTCACATTTTCCCTACTACAGAGTTTCACTTGCATGTTTATGCCTTAATAAGCTCACTTCATCTAATTAATGTTAGTATCAATCACTTCCAGTAGTTTCATGGGACATCACTTAGAATTACGTATATTGATTGCTCAATCGTTGGCAGGTGCAATCACTAAGTTATTTGACATGCAATATGTTAATTTGTACATAGTAATTCTTAAGTCATGTTTCAATATTTCTTTTTCAATTGCAGCCTATGATGCGTACAAAAGAATGAAATGATTGTTGAATAAACTTAGTTATAGTTCACTACAAGGACTTCCAGGGCTAGGTTAAGTTCGAGTGATTCAATGTGATTAATAAAGAATTATTAATTGCCTCTAGAATTAGGTTCTTCTGTACCTCTAAATTGAACAAAACTTCTACTAATATCAAGTAGCTATAGTGAAATTCCGTGCGCCATTAGCCATTCATCGGATCCTAAATTTAATGGCTGCAAATTTTAGGTTAAACATTTTCATTGCTCAGTAGCATTTCCCCCGTAGAGTCTATTCGAGGTTATGTACTCTTATGAACTTTGTAACGCACTTCACAGTATCACTGTAAAGTATTTTATTACGCACTTCAATGTTTAATGTAATGCTCATTAATAACATGAATGCTATCATCGTGTTATCGAAGACAGGTGAACTGCACTTTGCCCCCTTATCGCTGTTTGCAATCGGAAAGGAAATATTTGCCCTATTTACTAATATCATCATTCCCAAAATCTTTATAGCGCTTTAGCCATCACATGACTTTCGTCTCATTTACGATGTTGGACTGACCGTGCGTCGAAAACGAACGTTTTAGAAATTCTTCTGTTGGTTTGCACATCGCCTTGAATGTTATCTAAATTTTAATGAAATGTGCTATAACTCCATTTAAAACAAATGCAATTTTTTGTGCATGCATTATTTCCCGTTCTTAAAATTTTTACCTTTAGATTAGCTTCAATACGTTTCCTCCTTCATTGGCCAAGTCTACTTGTATTTATTTGTATATTTTATGAGCTAGTCACTGTACATAATGATGGCATTTTTATTTTATATTTAATGAGTTCCAATTTATAATTTTAAGATGCCTGGTCTCTGCCTTTGACTCGTTAGCAAACGAAGTTAACTGTTATGAAATACATTCTTTCAGATTCTTTGTTTGATGATTTAATTGTAGTTGGTGTGTCAAGATTCTCCGCATGCCGTGCATTATCTTAAATGAGAAAATGTTATAGACATTAATGGCGCACCTTCATCGATGTTAGTTTACGTTTGCTTGGCGATAGCCTATTGTGCCTTCAATACTTCGTTGCTCGTGCTAGGACGTTAACCAAACGGTGGCCTGTTATCTTGTGCTATTATCGTCTTCAAGTCGGGCATTCGAGACGAAAATTAATGTTCGAAAGGTGCAGGCGATAAATGCCCACTTGATATCAATCTGAATTTAACCTACAATTTCTGAATGTTTTCATACTTCGTAGGAAATATTGTTTAAGGTTAACTGGTGAAATATACACTCAGATATCGCATTCAGATCTCAACTGCCAGACGTAGCTTGTAGGATGTGTTGAAATAAACGTGGTGGCTCTGTAATCACACAATCACTTATGAAGACAAGGGTATGTTGCACATGCTTTTGGTATTTTTGTACAATCTTGAATGTCTGACGTATCGCTGTGTTTATTTTGTACTGTAAAAATTCTAAGACCTTGAATTTGTTTTATTTTTCTTTTAACCACAATTCAAGTTAGCCTATTTTAAACGGAAAAGTTTACCATCAAAATGCTTTCCGCAACATGAAGCTTAGTGACGAGAGTAGCCGTCTATGGACGATATCAACCTTTATAGCGCATTCAATCATTTATGGAATAAAAGGCGCTATTGTGCTCGCCATGTCCGTCCGTGACTTCACGTGACGGACGGACGAGAAAATGCGCTCTGTCACTCACTGCAATGAGTACTGAGTTATATATTTTTTAGCACATAACTGGTCTACTTATACGTAGCCCAATCATGCACTCACAAAAATAAATGGTTCAGGTTGTTCAAATTGTGACACTCTTACCCACTGCGAAAGCACGGAGACTGCGTAGCACTGATACATTCATTGGCCAGGCGAAACCAGGTTAGGATGAACCTCATGGGCCATAAGAGCTTCGCTCAAATTGCCATGTCTTCTTGGACAAAGTCTCACTCATTTCTCTGAGTGTGGCCCTGCTTCACAAAGCGTGGGCTTTTCGGACCATGCAGAACCATGCCCAGTTTCCTGTCGCATGATTATTGCTCTCAGCCGAGTGATCTTTGTAAGTGACCGCCGTAGCTTCACTAATTTTCAGGCCCCTGCATGGTGGTTATATCCACAGCAATGAGACTAATTGAGGCAAGCCTGGTAATCCCATCAGCGAAAAATAAATTGTAAAAGCAACAGACATTCAAAAAGTATACAAGTGGCACAATTCACGAACATTACAAAATATTTCTTCATCATGATTGTTTCTTTGCAAAGTTACAATTTTTTGATGAAGCGCATTATTTCTATTATTCTATTGATTTCGCTCAATCGATTGCAATCATTATTTGCAATCATATATACGACAATGAGTTGAAATTTTCTAAGCATATTGAAGGTCAAGTTAATAAAGCCAATCAACGACTTGGACTGATCAGACGCTCTTTCGAGTTCCTAGATTTAGAAACGATGAAGCAGTTGTTTGTTGCTGTCGTGCGCCCGAACCTGGAGTTTGTGGTTCCAAAGGCCGGATCCCTTGTGAATCAAGTCACGAAAAGTACAAGAATCGGCAACAGGCCATGGGCCTATTTCTTCAACGCCGACACTTCTATTCTATTCTATTTCTAAATTAATTGCTCAATCATTATATAGGTTGAAATCTCAATCATTATTCTGAATTAATTGCTCAATCGATTTAATTCCTCATTTATGATTGCTTATGACAAACTTGCTAAGTGAAGCAATACCATGGTAACCTGCATACAGTGCAAAGTCTGTCTGATCTGATGTCTTGCGACAGTGAATCGGAACCTCATAATCTCGGTTACGAGAGTTACCGACTGTTGAGAGTGGGTAAACTTCATGTTTACCGTCTATTCAGCACTTTACTTAGAACTTTAAAATATGATAAAATTTTACCGTCTAAAACTTTCCTACTGCTTTCATAGTTTAATGGACAGAACTGCATGAGTTCCGGCTTATCAGCCGTCACAGTTCGTGTGCACGCGTGGGCGTTCACTAGGAAATGCAGTCCTGTCGCATGAAGCCGACGTTCCCTAAAACTGCCATTTAAGTAACATGAACTACGATAGCTCTCCATTTATAAAAAAAATTGCATCCATGCATAACAGTATAATCTATTTCATCCGCACGATGAAATTTTCCCAGTAAAATAGGGAAATAGAATTAGGCAGGGAATTAGAAAACCTGAAATTAAATGTTTCCTTGTCATTTACTTCACTTTTTTAAATACTCAATCATGTCATCGTTGTCAAAAGTATGATTATACGAGTGGTTATTATTTCCAGTTAATGATCGCCCATATGAAGCACTAGCAGAGCGTGAAAGTTCGGAGGTTAAAGTGACCACCCTCATCATTTTTTAGTTGACCGCCAGCCGGCCGCTTTCTCCCGAGCAGCAGCTACCATCCACTGGGCATCCACATTCAGGTTCACATTCCTGGCATTCTCGCCGAGTGCCTCCTGTCACTTTCACACCAAGTTCTAGTCTGGGTGTCCTGTAGAAATAGTTTATGGATAGGCTGATCTATTAATGAGGCATGCTGGCTTCGCACATAATCCCATGGAACTGGTTGAGTTCACGCCTCTAACACAATTATCAAGAACACTATACTACACAATTTAGAGGAACGCTATTTGAGCCTTCGCTCGCTATGTAACAATTTAAATTCCAAGCATAAAAAGAATCAAATGATTCGCTAAAAAAATTAACGTTTCTTGGACACAAAGATGTGAAAGATGTCATTAAAGATTTGCAATATATCAATTGACGTCATGCAAATGCATGTAAAGCATTTTTTCAATTAAATTTTTTATTTCAGGGCTGGTTTATTTGTTTACAGGTCTCTGTTTTCTATGTACATGTAAGCTTTAACGGAGGAACTTTTTTGTTTCCAGAAAAAATTGTCATTTGTGAGGCATTTCTTTTTATTAAGGGTATTTTTTCAGTTTCATGATGCGTTCATCATACACTGTGTAACCCCGCCTTACGAACGCCTTCCCATGCTTTCACACCGCCAAACGGACCGTCAGATGTAAACGAACGTGCGCAACCGTTCTACAGTGGTTCGCTGTACCTCAACCATGGGCTGTACGGCCCGAAATTTAAAAAAAAAATCGAATTTAAACATTAGCGAAAGTGAAGCTCAACTAACCAATATCAACTGAGGGTAGTGACAGTGATTAGGTCATAAGTCATTCGTTGTGCTAGTAGTGATTCGCAACTGGACTTCGACGCAACCACCTCTCCGCACTCATCATCTACGTTCGTCCAACGGTCCAAGAGAGTAGATGCAGTGTACCTCGATTTTGCCAAGGCATTTGACAGTGTCCCACATGAGCGGCTGTTGCGTAAATTGAAGTCTTTGGGGATTGAGAGTAATGTACTCGAATGGATCAGAGATTTTCTAGTAGGGAGGCGACAACGTGTCAGTATTAATGGGTCCGTTTCAGACTGGGCTTCAGTGCGCAGCGGCGTGCCACAAGGAAGCGTTCAATCGTCAGCTATGGAAAGATCGGGTTCCAAAGGCCGGATCCCTTGTGAATCAAGTCACGAAAAGTTCAAGAATCGGCAACAGGCCATGGGCCTATTTCTTCAGCGCCGACACTTCTATTCTATTCTATTCTATTCTATTCTAAGAGATGCTCTTCATTATCAGAGGTATGTGAATAGCAACAAAACAGTAAATTATTCATAATTATATGTAACTGATGTTTTGGATAATAATAATTAAGTTCTGCCTATTTAAAGTAAAGTATATGCGTGAAGTGGTGACTTTTGGGAAGGTCTAAACATGGTTCGGATTTTTGTCCATACATTTTAATGGAAAAATAGGTTCATTTCTCGACCGAACGGCAGTAAGAACCGAGTTCCAGCACGTGCACGAATTAAATTCGTAACTCGAGGTTCCACTGTACAAGTGAACTGTGCACATGTTCGTTCGAGGTAAAGGAAATCAGCATCCGCGTTGAACATTAGGACAAGCCTGAACATCACCTTTTGAAATATTCACGAGTTGCTTCCAGGCGTTGGAGAAACATTTTTGGATCAGTTGGTCCGAAGAGTGTTTTTTACGCAAAGTTTAATCATTTTTAGAATGAATTTATGTCAATACAAAGCATTTTTATTCCATGACCCATTCACATTCTCCGGGCAAAAACTTGTTTTCACAAAATTTTCAAGTTACCCAGGACGCGTTTTTAATATATTATAGATTTTTATAAGGAATATTACTTTATGAAGCAAGTATTTCACATCTGCCTCTCCTCTGTTATATTCGTTGCGTTTATAAACGACAAGCCAGGAGCTTTGTCTAGCGTGTGCTCCTCGATGTATGCTGACGACACTGAAGTTTATAATACTGATGAGTCCAAGAGTATAGTGAAGGATGAGTCCAGAAAAGTACTGTTGCAAGATTGGGTCTTGACAGGGTAGTTGACTGGGCTGTTCAAGCTATGTTTGTTACTGTCGCGCGCCTGAATCTAAGTTTGGTAGCGTCGTGTGGTCACCAAAACTTGAAACGGACAAAAATTTAATCAAAAGTGTTCAAAGACGTGCAACAATGATAATTCCGGTATTAAAAGGAAAGTCTTATGAGAAAGATTACAGACTATAAATCTTCCAAATCTGTGTTATCTACGTTATCGTGGCGACCCAGATTCAAATCCTTACGTGGCGACAATGTCCCAGAAGGATTTTAGAATCTGAAACAATAAACAACATAAGGTGCCACAGCTATATACTAAAAAAAACTTCGCTGTAACACATCCCTGCGACAACATCTCACATTGCTTCTAGTCACCGGCATGTGGAACAGCCTCCCTGATGACATCGTTGAAGCTCAGAGTATGAACGCGTTCAAAAACCAGACTAGACGAAGCTATGCAGGAGCATATGTTCAGTCTTGAAACGCCTACACTTCATATTAAGTCCAGTAGCTAGCTCAAACCAACGTCAGTTATGGAAGCTTTTAGATCTCCTGCGAATCAAGTCACGAAAGTTACAAGAATCGAGAACAAGCCATAGGCCTATTTCTTCAGCGCCGACACTTCTATTCTATTCGATTTATAGGTAAATAGAACTTCACGTTTCATACTCTACTCGTAAACGCATACAACCATGACTTATATGTCGTGTAATTCTATTTGTATAAATTTCTTTGAGGAAAATGAGTTTGATTAACATCATAACTTTGAATGGATCTAAGACCAAGGGAAACTTCACTTGAAGAATATTAAATGAAATGAAATAAGACCAGATAATCACAAACAAATTAACTTCGAACAAAACTATAAGACCAAGGTAAATTTCAATCAGCGACCTCAGAAATTATAAATTAATTAAATTAAATCAAGACCTAAGCCTAAGAACAACTGCATTTTTGGCTTATCATGGCCAGGAAAGGGCCGTTGTTCAGCGTATTTTGGCTTCGCTGATATGAATGTTATCATTGGTTATCTTACCGC